CGTGAGATCCTTCGAGGAAGAAGGTTCAAGAATTCGACAATCTGCTTTAGAGGACACGGTATCGATCTGCTTACTTACACGGCCTAGAAATAGACAATCCTTATCGACATTTTCACACGTGTGCCAAGGGATGCGTTCTGAAGTTCGAGGAGCAGCTGGTTCAGTTCTCTCGCAGGATCTATCTCGTGAACTTTATTACATTTTGTAATGACGTGTACACACATACATATATCTAGAAATGTACTGTGACTCCTTCAATACTCGTAAAAATTTGTTATTGGCCATAACAATACGAATGTGCCAACATATATTCGATAAGGTTTTCAATCGTGAACGAGATTCGTTATTGACCATTTCTTTTTTTTTTTCTGGAAACAAAATTTAATTTTAAGATAAATAGATTTTTATAATTCATACGGTATTCGTCGTAGGAAAGGGTTTAAATCGTTATAAATCATCAAAGGAATAGTTTAATGTCAATTAGCATTTTTTGTGTAACACGTTATATATCTATAAAATATCAATTCCTGCGTTTCGTCTGATCGTAAAATGCTACCTCGACAAAAGTCATTTCACGGTTCTCGAATATCGAATATGCCAGCAGATTTCCCTCCCTTCACCAATAAAACGGCAACATGCTCGTTTTATAGCCACACTAGTTCCAGAACTTTTTATAACGCATTTCAGACATTAACGTGGTGGGTATTTGAAATGCGGACATTAACGGTGTTCTAGGTTTCGTATTGCAACGTGTCAGATATACAAACTTCCTGGCTCAGTCGAGAATTAAGTCATTTGAAGAAATCAATTCATTCCATTTTTTTCTAATTTTATTATTTTGTATTTATCTTGAATATTTGTCTCGTGCAGACGACGTGAAAGAAATTTTATTTTAAATGAAAAAATTTTTTTTTGAAAGCGTTTTGAAAGAAAGAAATAATTAATAATGGTTTCTGACATTAGATGATCAATAACATATATAAAATATTAAGTATAATTTATTACAATTTTTCAAAAATTAAAAAAAAAGATTATAAGTAAATATAAATTTTTTTTATTATTATTCATAGTCATTCATGAATCATTAAATTTCCATTTTAATATTATAAGAAAAATTAAGTAATTCCTCTATGAACTTATAATCTTTTAAGTTTTCCTATATTGTAAATTTCATCAAATATCAGTGCAAGATAAGGTTCTATTGTTAACGAGAGGTTGCACACTTTACAATATAATCTTATAATTCAAAGAAAATACGAAGACGTATTAACGATCTCACGTACGATACAAATTCATCATCTTTCATATCAAACACCATAGTCTTGTTTATGCATCAGATATACGAAACCAAATCGAATCGATTAGTTTCAAATTTTTCCTCTTGGCAATTACCAAAAATCGTGCGATCATTCGAAAAATTTTTATTCAAACGTGTTTAAAACACACACAAATAAAAACAGTATAACCATAGTGCAACAAAAGCACACTCGAGAAATGGAAGTAAATTGAGTACCACTGGTACGAGTACCGCACATTTTTCCTTGGCAGATAGACAGTTTCTTTCTCGATTGGTTCCGAATCGAACGTTCCATTGCTCCCTTTTCCCGCCACGATCTCTCCCCACCACATGGGATCACCTCGCCTCTTACCTGTTTTCTTAATTTCTTAACCCGACGAATCTGTCTGATTTTCGCGCGTGCACGGTCGATAAAACGTCGCGACTATCTTGAAATATTCAAAAAAAAAGAAAAGAAAAGAAAAGAAAAGAAAAAGATTACCAAAATTTTTGCATATCTTCCTCTTCGACTCGCGTGTGCGAATCTATATCTCGAACGGTTCGCTTTTATCGCGGATAATTTTCGGGACAGAAATTCGCGCATAGGAATCGCAGTTATCGCGGCGATAACGCTCGATGATGATGTGCCGTGCTCGATAAGCGTGCGGATTCCAACGACTACCTGATTTTTTAATTCCTTTGTTTACTACTCGATCGAGTGAGCGGGATTATTATCGGAGGCGAGTCGAATTAATCGGTTCAGTTGTGCCGTTCAGTCAGTTTTTAAACCGCGGATCGTGCGAAAACTGGGGCTGGTGTAATCGTATCCGGAGGAAATGAAGCGCGAACGATCCACAGCGGGAATTCATTAATCGTTAACCCGTTAACGAGATCGCGTTCGATCCCCGGGTCAACGAACTTGGATCCCGTGTTCGTATATTTGCGTGTATATGTGCGTGCACGCCTGATTCGGTTTATTTTATTCTCGAATAAAATAGTTACTATCCCCATCATGGTGATCCGTGAGTATATATATATATATACTGGTTGTGAAATATCGAATTCCGTGTGATTTACTACGGTTTCGAGATCGCGGTTACGATCGCGGACCGGTCGTTTTATCGCGCCACGAAATCTGTGCAAACCAGTTGTTCCTTCCAGACTCGCTCGTAATTTCGTTTCTTACTCGTATCGACAATATTCCGGATTTCGGTTGGCAATCGTGTTTGCAACGGTGTTTCATATTAAAATTCGATCATTGTGCGCGGATTATTCCTTTTTTAAAGGCGTATGTAATATTATCGGTATCGCGTCGTATTATTCGATATCTGTTTGTATCCTCGCGGAGGAAAATTTTCTCGATGAAATTT